CTTGCTGTAAGACGACAGTGCTAAGCACTGAGCCACTGTGTCACCCTGAATATTTGAAAATGTAATAATTTGCTAACTTTGTTACCATATATTATAAAGACTTTTAAAAAACAAATCTCGTACGCATTTGTGTGTCACTTTAAACAGAAAATTGTCGTCTGTATTCAGTGTTAGTGGAAACATAAAAGCCTTTGTAGGCTACTGTTAGGACACATAAAGCCTTTCTAAAACCACAAGAGGGCGATATGATACCATTGTGATTACTTCATGAATTTCTCTTTCTTTGCTATTTTGACTTTTAAAATAAAAGATATTCTTTTCAGAAGAAATAGCCTAAGCACAATTATTTTACATAATAAAACATGTTTTAATTCAATAAGGTATCTGACAAGGGAAATCAACAAAAGACACGTATTAAAATGCTAATTTCGTCAATCCATACCATATTTGTTTGCTTTCATAATCAACATTCTATCAATATTGTTTTCAAATCATCATTTATTAGACCCAATAACTCAACTTAAATCATACACAAAAAATGCACAAGATCGTGAGTGTTGTTGTTTTTGAGGTAAGGCATAGCTTAAGTCCAAAGAAAGCGTAGGGATAGACATTCATTTCAACCAAAATATGTTTTAGTGATAATATATATATATAATTTTTTTCTTTTCTAAATATGACTTCTAAAGTCATAAAGAAAGTCCTATTTTTTATATGTTATATTCAGACACCACCAGTGCCTGCAATGTGTAACTGTGTCACCAGTGTGTCCCAAATACATGTGATGTGGTGCGTGACATTCTGATTACATTGTGCAAAAGTATATATATAATTCTTGATTCAGGAACATACACATATCACAGCTTCCTTTCATTTGAAGCACTGATTTTATGGCCCTCCATTCATTTAAGTCCAAAGCTGTACAGGAAGCAACTGCTTCACACAATTTTATCCGTAAAACGCATCTCAAACTGAAGAGGGAATTTGAGGATCCTCAACATCTTGTAAATTGATCTGGGACTCAAGCGGGTTCAGTTTTAAACCATCTTATCTGTCATCCATTCCCAGACGCTGTCATTTAAATCAAAGAGACACGATGGTCCAAATTTCAACATCCAGGAATCCTTTGATACAAAGACCGGATTTTTAGTGACCTGGTCAGGGATAGCCAGCCAGGCAGATGGCAGAAAGATGCCTCTGGGATATTTTCTGTATCCTTTGAGCCATTTCTCTTTAACATGTTCCAGTGCATAGAGGTTACAAATCGCATGGGGGTTACAAATCCCATGTTCAGTCATATAATGCTAGTTCAGTCAGAAGCAAATCACACACACACTTTGTTTACACATGCAATGGAACAAGGCATCTGGGAAAACCATCAAATACAGTTTTAGCACACTGTAAAAAAATGTCTGTGATTTCAACAGTAAAAAACTGTAAAAATGCTACATTACAAATCCGTAACCTTAACGAATTGTTTCCTTAATATTTACGGTGAATAACCGTAAATTGACTTTCCCAGAATTCCCTGCATGGCACATAATATTTTTTTTGCATTTTGCTGACATTAAAATGGATATTTTTAGTGGTTTCTCCATCAGTTATGTACATTAGAGATTTATGTTACATCTAGTATTGATATACAATGTTTATTTCATGACTTTAATTTTATGCTGTGTGAATGACACTGAGCACCTTCAATGTGCTACTCTTTTCTGCTTGTGGGAAAAGTTGATTGTGATGAGCATTGGCTCATTGTGTAACTTCCTCATCACCACCTGCATGTGTGTCTAACTGTGTAACAAAAGATGTGTACATGTTGGTCATTCAAAATACAGACATATTACCTCCATAAATTAATAAAATACGGAAGTTTACCGTAAAAATGAGAAATTACTTTTACGGTTTTTAACGGTAATGTAAAAAAAATGTGCCAGTTTTTTACCGTAAATTTTATGGATTTTTTTTTTTACAGTGCACTGCTTGGAGATGCCAAGTAACTAATTCATCCATCCAGACTTTTCAGCCAGTCACCCCTTCACCTTTTCATCAGCAGTGATGATTACTGTGAGTGTTGGGTTTAGGTTTGGAGTAGCAATAGGTGTTAATAAAATACAAATTGAATTTTTAATTTAGTAAATAATATGAATAATAACTGTTTTACATACGGTGATGGTTGGGTTTATGGTTGTGGTCGAGGTGGACATTAATTAATGGGTAAATGAATACACAATAACTTACAGCTGCAGCTGTATCCCTCCTAGCAACAACCAGTGCACACTGAAGTGTGTCAGTTTAGTGGCATACATTAACACACACACTCACTCACATTCACCGCAAATCTCCCAAAGCCACAAGGATGAAATGGGCATGCTGGCCCTTCCCATTTCTCATAGAAATATACCAGCTCTGGAATAGTAAGGGTGGTCAAATCCTTGTTTAACATAAGAAATGCATTCGTATTAAAAGGTTATTATAAACCTTTATGAGTTTTTTTTTATTCTATTGAACACTAAAAGATAATATTTTGAAGAATGCTTGGTAAGTAAACATTTTTTTTTTGGGGGGGGGGGGGGGGGGGGGGGTGAACTATCCCTTTAATAATAATGAACTGATTGTGAGACAGACAAGCAGGCACACAGGCCCTCAAGCCAAATCGTTCTCTATTTCTGCCCCTGATGCCCTGATTTGATGAACAACTCATATTGTGCTCTGGCTTGTAGTCTCAATGTTTGCTCTGTTCATGTGTGCCATATTTCATTTGCTCTGATTCTCTGTCTCCTTTCCGTGGCAGTGGCATCGCTTAAGTGAGGTTGACCAGGTAACCATGGTGACTGGCATGAGCTTATTGAGGAGTAAATGTAGGCAGAGAGCAGCAGTGTGGAATATAGGTGTCACAGGTAAGAGCATATATATATAGTTGAAGTCAGAATTATTAGCCCCCTTTTTGATTTTTTTTCTTTTTTAAATATTTCCCAAATTATGTTTAACAAAGCAAGGAAATTTACACAGTATGTCTAATATTTTTTCTTCTGGAGAAAGTCTTATTTGTTTTATTACAGCTAGAATAAAAGCAGTTTTTATTTTTTAAACCATTTTTGGGACAAAATTATTAGCCCCTTTAAGCTAATTTTTCTTTTGTTAGTCTACAGAACAAACCATTGATATAGAATTACTTGCTTAATTACCCTAACCTGCCTAGTTAACATAATTAACCTAGTTAAGCCTTTAAATGTCACTTTAAGCTGTATAGAAGTGTCTTGAAAAATATGAAGTAAAAAATTATTTACTGTCATCATGGCAAAGATAAAATAAATCAGTTATTAGAAATAAGTTATTAAAACTATTATGTTTAGAAATGTGCTGAAACAATCTTCCCTCCATTAAACAGAAATTGGGGAAAAAAATAAACAGGGGCGCTTATAATTCAGGGGGGCTAATAATTCTGACTTCAACTGTATATATATATATATGAACAAATTGGTGCAAAGACTATAAATATATATATATATATATATATATATATATATATATATATATATATATATATTAAACAAGTACAATATGTACAGATGAAAAAAATATATAGCTGTATTACACGTATTTCTTTGATGCATGTTATCGTGTTCATAGAACTTCCATTGTATTCACCAGCAAAATGATACATTTTTAATTTGTACATTTTCATAACTTTTCAAGCTTAAAATCAATGATGACTTTAAAATTGAATCTCACAGTAGTCTGAATAATTTGTATAAATAAATAGATATTTTCTCTTTAAAAAAAAGAACCACGAATAGATTAACAATTTAAAATTTAGAAGTAAAGCAAAAATGTTACATTTTCTTAAATTTAATTCAATTAAAAAAATGTAAATTTTCTTCAATTTCATTTATTTACAAAACAACAAAAAGCTATTTTCCCCTTTAGCAACACAATGCTAAAATACTAAATTTAACTTTCACTTTTTAATCACTAAAGAAAATATTTGAATGATTCGTTAAATGAAATATTTGTATTAAAAAAAGATATGTATATATATATATATATATATATATATTCTGAGACCCCGCCCATTGATTTGTGTCCTCTGTGGTGGAAATTGCGCACATTTTGTGGGAAGGAGAGAGGTATGTAAAAATGTAGCTTTTTAAATGTTTTATTATTATCACGTATATTTTTGTCTATTAAAGTGTCAGGAACAATACATTTAGCTTTCAAAGCTGTTAACTTGTTTGTGTTTCAAAATATCATCCTTTTTTAAATGTCCACTACAGTGGACACCAGGTCCATCTTAATGTAATTAATGACTGCATGTTGTAGGGGGCAGAACTGAAGCAGAGAGGATTGTTCATAAGATAGAGGGAGAATCTGATTTAGAGTCTGACAATTAGACAATTAAAGAATTAGAGACCATTAGAGAATAAAAATCAGTTTTAGATCACTTTTATATTGAATTTGTTTTGGATTAACATCACTTCTTTTTCTTCTTTTTTGAGTTTGGCTCTCTTTCAGACTAAACTGTTTCAGAAATTTCAATACAAAAGGGAAACATGGCTTTTGTGTTGTTTTTGTTACATTAATATTGGATTAATATTCCTTTACAGCTATATCCCGTACAGTTTTGTTATCTGAGTGGTGGTCGTTTCGAATTAAAATGGTTCTGTGGTCCACTACAGTGCTGTAAAATATTCAAAATAAAAACAAAATGTAAAAACTCTAAATTGTAGATTGTTTTTACCCAAAGGATGTAGGAAATCACAGAAAAAAAGTCTCAGGATATATATATATATATATATATATATATATATATATATATATATATTTTTTTTTTTTTTTTTTTTTTTTTTTTTTTTGCTAAAATATCACCCCACCCTTTCTTAATCCAAAATATATTTTAACAAATTCAACCTCTGGTTTACTCATGTAACACCGAAGTGCAAGTAGCAACTCAAACCGAAAGAGGGCGACAGCCCGCCTGAACTTACTTGTAACCGCAGACCGTCAATCACGAAGAAGTGTTTTGTTGTCATGGCGGTGTTTTAAACCGCCTAACACCTACACACAAATCTCCAATTTATATAATTTCTTCTCAACTAACGTGTCGTCATGGTAAAATTCACCACGGATTTATTTGTCGTTGGCCTGTTAACTATGGGTTTATATGGGATAGATCAATCGCTTTTTCTGTAATCGATCGTATCCGTCAGTAGAGAATCAGTTAAGCTACTCTGAGGAGGATTACTCAAATTGGATTTGCAACTAGCCGAATGACTTACTTCTATCAATACAGTACACAAAAGAAGATTTCATTAGGATGATTTCTGATTTCCATAGGGCTTCTACTATGACAACTGCCGATCTGGGCTCTTTGAACCGTCAATGGATTAAAAAAGGCTCTTCTGTGTCTCAGATTGCTGGTCTGCAAACACAGGTAACTTGCTTACAAATTTCACAAAGTACAAGTTTATTATAACTTTACATTTGCTAATAAACACTGCATGCACTTTAACGTACTGTATGCAGTAACTGTTAGTCTACATCTGAAGAGGATCAAAGCCTGTCATTAAAATGCTCCTAAACCTAACGAACACACCACCCATTCTTGCCACATTGAGGTAAAGTTGGTTTTAGTTTACCTCGCTAACGTTACTTTGATTATACGGTCTGAAATCGCATGTAAGTGTGTCTTCAAAACAATATTAGCACTTTTTAATTGACTGTGAACAGTGCTGTTCTTTGATAGTCATTAGCTGTTAAGTTACTATGATTTCCCTATTTAGAGTTAGCAAAGAATACTTTTCTGACATTATATTGTCAAGGAGAAGGTCTGAATGTGCAAATATAAAAGCAACTTTACCTCAATTTCTTTTGTTAGGACAATTGTGAAAGTTTTTGATCCACTTCAAATGTTGATTAGTGTGTTTAACTGCAACTGTAGAATATACTCCACAAGATGCTGATATTAATAAATCAGCCTCTCTTTCATTCTCATCTTGTTATCACAGCTTCAGTTCAATAGTGCAGTGTTACCCAGTGTCCTGAACCGAGCCACCCGAGTGGGACCCCCTTCTCCCATCGTGATAGAGAAACTTCTCCCCCATACAGAGAGGCAGGATGATATGGAAAGCTGCAGCAGCTCCTTACGGCTCTCAGTCCTGTCAGAAGAGCGCCTGCAGGCTGCTGTCAGACTCGCCAAGAGAGATCTGCAAAGAAAACGGCAGGAATCCATCAACCGTTCATCCCTCGAACAAGAAGAAACACAGGAGATTATTATCCCTGAAAGAACCAACACAGATAACGTTCCTCGTGTGGTTTCCCCAAAGATGGCTGGTACAAGGAAGCAAATAAAAACTGGCGCTCATGTGCTTGTTTATACTCCTCAGAAGCCCAACAGCCCAATTAAACAGACTCAAACACCCATTAAAAACACTATAGTCAACAGCAGTGAACCTCAACTCACACAAGAGATTCGGAAATTACAGAAGGAACTGAGCACGTATGTTCAAAGGGTAGAGCAGTTGGCTAATAAAGGTATTTTCATTATTATTAATAACACGTGAAAAAAATCTATATTTAAATGTTAAATGTACATAATTACATAAATCTTTATGTATAACAATTATTATTCTTATTATTTTATTTATTTATTTTTGCTTTTGACGTGGTGTTTTCTGCAGAATGTGTGGTGGAGGCTTTGGAGCCTAATGAGAAGCAGAGGATAGAGATCCGGCGGCAGGAGCAGGCGGCCCGTTCCGCTCGTATGATCTATGTGTTACAACAGCAGGTCTGTAAACACTGCACACTGACATTTTTTCGGGTTATGGTGATCCAAAGGAAAATGAAGTTTTTGCTTTTGTCAAGCAGCTGTTACCCTCCTTTTCACCACCATGATAAAATTAATATTAATTTTATGAATATGTCCACAAAATTACTGCCAAAAGAAATATATTTTACTAGATTTTCTAGTTTTAATTAATGTAATTTGTATTAAATGTGATATAATTATTTTTAACTTAATTATTCACTATTATATTGCTTATTCACCATAGTTAAAGGCAAGAATGCACTTTCATAAATTTTCCAATCCTATTACTTGCACATTTTGAATATATATAAACTGTTTTGTTATATTTTACCTAAGAAATGTCAGTTTTATATTTCATTCAACAATATTATGCCCAATATTATATCACCTCCTGCTCATAGTTTGAATATATCGCATTCAGTCAACTGGTCCTGTCCTTAAGTTTTGAGTATTTATATGGATGTAAAACAGCACAGCTCTTGTACTACACTAGAGTTGCACGACTGAACTGTTTTGATGTTCTGTTCAAGGTTAAAGAAATAAAGCAGGATCTAGACAAGCTACGTTGCCAGAATATCAAACCGACAAAAAAGGTAGCAAAAACCTATTTTGCCCAACAGATAAATTTTAAAACATGTTGATATTTGGATCAGAAGGCATATAGAGGTTTCTGTTGTTGCCTTTTTCAGTCCAGGCCAATGGAGCGGCTGGCTGCTGCTCACCGGGGAGCTGTGAGAGCCATGCAGGTTTTTATCAACCAGCTGTCGGACCCTGCTGAGAATAGAGTGCCCACCCACTGCAAAGAGCTGGGTCAGCTGATTCGCCAGCTCTCTCTCTGCTCTGCCAAAGTAGAGGTGGGACAAGGATCTGTCGTCCCAGAGACAGCACTCGACATCCTGCAGAAATTAGAGGTGATTTAAATGCACACTGTATGTAAATGTAAAAATATATATATATGAAAATAAATGCATAAAAATGTAAAAATGTTTTATTTATGATCACTCAGATGCTTGACTCAGCTCTGAGCAAGCAGGAGACCACCAAAAAACGAGATGTGTATTTGCAGAATGTTAACCCAGTGGAAAAGACCTCCATTCAGGTCAGGGCCCGCAGCATGTCCCCTCCCCGTCCTGCTAGAGCCCCAGCTGAGAGGAACTCACGGAGACCTCGAAAACCAGCTGATGCCAAAAAGCCAGCTAGTGAGTCATGATGATCAGGGTGATGCTCATTCTTCAAAAAAAAAAAAAACAACAACGATAAAAAAACAACAAAAACCCTGGACCACAAAACTATTTAAAATGTATAAATTTAGATTAGAAAATATAAAAATATATATGGTTTGTTGGAATAGGACACTTTGTGGCCAAGATACTGTTTGAAAATCTGCAAACTGAGGGTTCAAATGAATCTAAATAGTGAAAAAATCACCTGTAAAAGTTGTCCAAAGTAAGTTCTTAGTACGTTATAAGTAATGCAGTACTACTCAAATTGAATATTTCTTCATGGAACATAATCCTTATTGAATTTATGTTCATATAATATAATTTCTTCATGGAATAGAATTTGGAATATATAGGAATATAACTTCTTAATAGCATATAATCTATTATTTTGACCCATACTATGCAGTTTTTGCACCTGTTTTATGATCCAGGGTCAAATATATTGGTGCTATATTTATTAGGGATCTCAATAGACTACAATTTGTTGTTGTTATAATTAATCATAGCACTTTTATGTAGTTTATTGGCCATTTTACATGAAATTAAGCAAACCACCTTTTTATAATTAATGATTACCTTTTATTTTGTCATTAGCTGCTATATCCAGCTAAGTAAACAATCTCCCTAAATGTTTACGGTATAACTTCTGTATGTCACTGCAATAGTCTTTATTTTTTCTATTTTCTATATTGACTGTCCAAAATGTGACAATTATCACTGAATATAGAAATCAGTCTTAAATTATGTATCTCGCATGAAGGAGATTTGTAGAGTGAGCTGGTTCTCTTGTGCAGGACAGGTATTTGATTGCAGGCTATTGCAAAAGACTATCTGAGATTTTCCTAATGTATTCAGGCAGCAGACTGGCAGGAAAATCCCACAGGACTTCACAGGCATTGCTGAAGGAGCGCAATGATGTTTTGAAAGCAGGGCTAGAAAGCCTCATCCATCATCAAAAACTGAGAGAGGCAGAAGCACAGAAAACCAACAAAACTACTAGTGCTATTAGCCAGGACCATGTTAAGGTAAACACATTTTATTGTTAGTTTATTAAAAGTTATTTTAGTTATTAGAGTAAAGCCGGCCTCACACTGCAATTATTTGATTTATTGATTTATTGATTTATTTGTTTGTTTGTTTGTTTGTTCATTTATTTATATATTTATCTACCTATCTATCTATCTATCTATCTATCTGTCTGTCTGTCTGTCTGTCTGTCTGTCTGTCTGTCTGTCTGTCTGTCTGTCTGTCTGTCTGTCTGTCTGTCTGTCTATCTATCTATCTATCTATCTATCTATCTATCTATCTATCTATCTATCTATCTTATTTTTTATAATCATTAATGATTGTTGCATGTCAGACTGCACAAACTGACCCCCAGGTCAAACTGGAAGATCTCATTTGTTATGTCAGACTCAATGACAATCAAGACGCGCCAAACACAAAAATGCGAGAAAACTCCCTAGAGTTTGACGTCATCTATCTGTTTCACTTTAAATATACCAGGTTCTCAAAAACTAACTCATGGCAGACATTAAAAAACTGTAGTGGTAATTTTGCTCACAGTGTGTCTTGATAATGAACCAGAAAAAAGCAGTTTTGACATTTCCTGATTGCGTCATCAGATTTGGTGCTCCTATTGGTTCTTGGTATGATGCACATTGTACACACACTGCAGGAAAGTGTTTGAAATCTTCCGACACTGCCAGAACAACGCAGGGAACAATAGCAACGCCATTAAGTGACTGTTGGTAAACATGTCAAGTCAACAATTAAAGATAACAGATTTTAGCCAAGGACTACACAAATCTTTTAGAATTTTCCAAATTTGTTTCAGACGATCAAATTTTGGATGAAATCGTACAGTGTCAGTAGGGCCTTGGTTATTGTACAATGTAAAGAGAGTTTGTGAAGTCTTTTTTTTTATATATATCTTTCAGCATTATATTGATTATATTGTTACAAAATATGTATACTTTAAAATTAAATGCTGTTATTCTGAATACAAAACAATCCTAAAAAATACCTAATGCTTCCTGAAGTTTTCCAATGATCATTAAGCTGTAAAATAATGTTTCTTAAAGATTCCATTCATTCGTTCGTTCATTCAATTATTCGTTCATTCATTCATTTATTCATTCATTCATACAGGTATACATCCATTTTCTTTTCGGCTTAGTTCCTTTTTTAATCTGGGGTCACCACAGCAGAATGAACTGCCAACTTATCCATCATATGTTTTACGCAGCGAATGCCCTTCCAGCCACAACCCATTACTGGGAAACATTCATACACACTCATTCACACACATACACAACGGAAAATTTAGCCTACCCATTTCAGCTATAGCGCATGTCTTTGAACTGTTGGGGAAACCGGAGGACCGAAGGAAACCCACACGAACACGGGGAGAACATGCAAACTCCACACAGAAAATGCCAACTGACCCAGCCGAGGCTCAACCAGCAACCTTCTTGCAGTGAGGCGATTGTGCTACCCACTGCACCACCGCATAGCTTTCTTGAAGGTTCCATTAAATAAAAAAAGATGTTTTTAGATGTTAGTTTCTGTCTGTTTGTTTTAAGATATCTTTAAGCTAGTGTTCTCCAAAACAGTGACAAAATTTGTGTTTTAGAAAATCACAAATCAAACCAAATCAAACCAGTCAAATGCTCTCTAGTATCTGAAGTGCCCTGCCTCCTTCAAGATGCTTTTCATTTGCTTTTCATTTGATGCACTTGAGCTCAACCCCTCTCATTGGCAGAGCTGTGATAAAAGCAACGCTATTAGCTGTTTTTGTTAAAGGGGAGGAGGAACTACTCTATGCCCCTCCCTCTCTTCATTTTTTCAGTTGAGATCATGTCAAACATTGAATAAAAATGCTCATTTCAAAGCACTTCATAGAATCTTTAAAACATAGATTGTCATATCAGTAGGGCTAATACGTTACACTAAAAATGGAATCCCAGGAATAAAATACATTTTAAAATATATTAGAGTAAAAACAGCTATTGTAAACTGCAGTTATATTTCACAGTATTATACATGGTGACCATAAGAGAGCTATTTTATAAAACAAAAACATTCCCAACCACAAATCTTTAGTCTGTTGTGAATGTTTGTACATTTTGTAGGATTTGTTGAACATATTTTTCCAAAAATAATGAAAGTGATAAAATCCACATTATGGCTCATTCAGCAGGCCAGTCATGTTCGTGATGCCAAATTCCAGCAGCCCACCGTCTCATCACGACTGAGGGAAAACCAAGTTCCCCAGAAAGAGTCCACTGTGCCTTGGATCCCAACATCCCCTCATTCTCCTTCTCGCCTGCGGTCAGTACATCCAGCTTATTGATATTTTTCTTGCAAATCACACCTGATATGCTTGCACCTTTGTGCTCTACTAATACATATGTATATGTTAACACATGTAGTGCTGTGCCCAACCGGCCAGAGCCCAGATGTCTGTTCTCACCTCATAAAAACCCTGAAAAGCAGAAGCCGCAGACTACATCCAGTACCCAGCTCAGTGCTTCATCACCTGACAGGAAACAGGCTCAAAATGAAGCCCTCAGGTATGCTTAGGAGCACTTGCTTTCAATTATTTTATATTTATTTTCAAAGAAATGTAATATATTCACCATTTTCAATGCTAGAATACTGTGTTTTTAATTAAATGTCTGTTTTTTTGGGAACGTCTATTGAAAGCACTGAAACAAGTGAGTGAGGGATACATTGGGTTTTTATTTCTTCCATTAATTAAATAATGTTAATTGTATTATTTTTACAACATTAGTATCACAAGGGGATCTATATGTTTTGTTCCTCCAGATTATTTTTCCCTAACAGTAATATTGAAATAAAATATTGCAAAACTCAAGTTTTTGGGGTTGTTTGTGTGTTTTTTTTTTTTAAGTAATTTGGTAATTATACTTAGCTTTCTTTTAATATTGATGAATGGAACAACAATGAGGAGAATACTGACACCTTATTGTACCTAGCTGTACCATTGTACTTCTGTTTGTTTACACTCTAGGCAAAAATGTTGTAGTTTGTTCAAAACTTCTTATTTAAAATGAGCTGAGACAACACAATTCTTTATGTTTTGGGGGCAACAACTTAATTGTTTTATGTTTAATCCACTTAAATTTGTTACTTTGTTAACCTAATCTCCTCCTGTTCATCTTTACAGTGCATTTTTATTGGAAGTTACTCAAATAATTCACGCAGGGCATCATGGGGTGTAGAAAAAGGGATTTTTTTTTTTTATTAATCACCTTGATCCTCAATTTTAGTGCTCACATTACTGTGACAGCACATTACATTAGTGTTGAAGATGTTTTACTGTATGCTTAGCCATATAATTTGGAACTATAACAGATGTTTGTTGTTTATTTGCGATAGACAAGCCTGGCTGGACCGTGTGACTGCAGACAGACTGAGAGAACTGAATCGTCTGAGTAAAGAAGAGGCTGACCGCATTAAAAAACTCCGGTACAGCAGCTCCCTCATTATTATACTTAACCAGTGGTTTAATGAACTCTACACGCAAAAAATGGATTTTGCTCCTTGTTTAATTTTGTTAACATTTTGTCGCTAAATGTCATTGGGTGCAATCAATTTAAATTGACCAAATGAAAATTGACATAACCCATTTGCAATGGGGCTACTTGAATAATGATGTCTTTGAAATTCACATCCAGGCAAACTGGCTGGAAATATATTGTCATAATTTATCAGTTTAAAAAAAGGTATTGTTTTTCATGTTATATACATGATTAAAGCAGATATATAGTGAATATATCATTAGGTATTGGCACAGTTGCAATCAGAATGATTATTCTGATAGAGAAGATTTTTTTCAGCACACTTCTAAACATGATAGTTTTAATAACTCATTTCTAATAACTGATTTATTTAATCTTTCCATGATGACAGTAAATAATAATTTACTAGATATTTTTCAAGACACTTCTATACAGCTTAAAGTGACATTTAAAGGCTTAACTAGGCTAATTAGGTTAACTTGGCAGGTTAGGGTAATTAGGCAAGTTATTGTATAACAATGGTTTGTTTTGTAGACTATTAAAAATATATATAGCTTAAAGGGGCTAATCATTTTGACCTTAAAGTGGTTTAAAAAAAAATTAAAAACTGCTTTTATTCTAGTCGAAATAAACAAATAAGAAGTCTCCAGAAAAAAAAAATATCATACTGTGAAAATGTCCTTGCTCTGTTAAACATCATTTGGGAAATATTTAAAAAAGAATAATTTTTTTATAAATATTTGTTTTTATTAATATTTGTTTTATTTTTAAATATCTGATAACATTTTCCAAATTTGAAATAAAAATGTCATTTAGTCGAAATAACAAATGTTTGCATTTGTTGTTATTGAAAATCAGGGTTATTGCACCAAATATAGATTTCTTATTTCATCTGAAGTTAAAACATTGGTTTTGAGTTTTCTTAATATGTTTATAAACACCTGTGTACGCATCTTTTTTGCTATTTAATGCAAAAGTGTTTTTTTTTCAAGTGACAACATTAGTAAACAGCAAAAGTAAGTCCAAGACACTCGGAAAATGTGAAAAAAAATATTTAAAAGCCTTTATTGACATGGACATTCATTAAAACTGCGCCTACATGTTTTAACAAACACTTGCCTTCATCAGGATAACAGAAAGAAGAGGCGTCTAGAGTTTCATTTTGAACAATATGGTCTCATTAGAATATCTAAACTATACTAAAATATTAAATTGAACACAACAATCATTATTTTAGCATTGAGAGAGAAAAAAATTATAATAAAAATAAAAGAAAAATATCATGAGTATTATACAACATGTTTCTCTAATAATACAACGTGAATGTATAAAGAATGAAATAAACAAGTATAGTGTACAATCAAATGGACATAAACATATACACACATATACATTTACATATATACACATAAATAAATACATATTCAATTATATTTAATGAAAATCTGTATCGAAAAATCGAATTCCTCAATATAGCCTGGAAGTCTAGTTGCTTTTATTGTATAAATCCAAAAGGTCTCTCTCTGTTTTAATTTTTTTGTCCTGTCTGCTTCCCTTGTAGAATTATAAGCTCTATACCAATAAAAGTTGCTCTATACCAACTATTTTTAATGTACTGGGATTGCTGTGACTTTTTTTTTTTTTTTTTTTTTTTTTTTTTTACATTTGGAAAAGCCACTAGTACTTTGCAGAATACATCAAAACATGTTTTATTCAAACAAATAACTATTAGTGGAATCTGAGAATTTTCAAGTGGCCTTTATTTTTAAGGCCTTTTTATGATCTATATGAATATAAAAATAAATGTTTGCATTAATGCAAATTGATGTATGGGCATGGCAGGACCACAGTGGGTTCTCCAACACAATGGGCAGAGAGAGCCGAGCGAGCTGCTAAAGAGAGGATTCAACCTTTGTTGGATCAAGCTCAGGTAAATACACATATCTGTTTTTTTTCTAAATAATGTCTGACATGTTAGTCGGTCAGCAGGATTTGTAATCCCTTGTAATACAAAGTATTCCACTGGACTTTTTCTTTTGGGAACACTGTGAGCAGCTGTTTTGTGTGGATTCTGTCTGTAGCATTTCTTTCTTTGTGTCTCATGCTTGTACAGAGGGTGGCTGGAGCAGGAAGTGACAGACTGAGAGCACGGCTGAAGGTTACAGATAAGGTGAGAAACTTGCACTCTCTTTCACTCTCGTATTCTTGAAACAGCATCAAGACTTTGCAGTGAATATTCAATTTTCAGATATTAACATAACAAAAAATATACACAGACACACATTCTAGTAGTTTTAATAGCTATTTTCTAATAACTAATTTCTTTTTTCATTGCCATGATGATAGTAGATAATATTTTTGTACTTCTTTTGCAAAATATTTACCTATTTTGTATTCTACTTAAAGTGCAATTTAAAGACTTAACTAGGTTATGTTAACTTGGCAAGTTAGGATAATTAGGCAAGTCATTGGATTATAGAGGTTTGTTCTATATCCAGTCAAAAAAATAAATAAATAAAAATAATAAAGAGGCTAATAATATTGAGCTTAATTTTTTTTTTTTAAATATAGAAACTGCTTTTATTTCAGCCAATCTGAAAGAAATTAAAGCTTTCCCAGAACAAAATTACAGGAATTACTGTGAAAAAAATGTCTTTGTTTTGTTTAACGTCACTTATAAAAATTATTTGAAAAATAATAAAACACATCACGGGAGGGCTAAAAATCTTGCCTTTAACTAGCTTTTTTTTGTTAATAATTCCTTTTTATTAAGAACTTTTTAAAAATTTTACAACAGAAAATTTTACATTTAAAAATATAACATTTTACAATACTCAGCTTGAAATAATAAACAAATACAAAAATAATAATAATGAATAAAAGAAAACTTTGTTAGGTTTACATTGTTCCAAATTCAATGCATTCAACAGTTGTTAACATTGCAGTAATCCCTTAACTTTATATGGTAAAAAAAATAGACCGTTTCAAAATTCTCAGTTTTTCTGGATTTACAATTTAATTTGATTTGATTTATTTATTTTCAAACAAAAATATCATACATAAAATATCATTAACAAAAAATACATTTCAACATGGTCGAAAATGGAGTGGGATGAAGCACAAGCTAATTATTTTCCCACCCCGTTACCACATACATCATTTGTCTATTACTTAAACTTATTTCTTCTTTTACTTGTCTCTTCTTTTTACATGAGAAATATTTTATACTATTGGCATCTTTGACATATTATATGTTTGATTCCATTTGTACCTTTACATTTTGTAACATAGAACCCCCCCCAAAAAAACAACTTACATTTTACAGTACAACTTATTTTTTTAGTTTTATTCTTCAAACTACTTATGGCATTTCTTCCCAATTTAAAATATGAAATTGTCACATATAACAAAGTTTTCCCTAAAATATTAAAAAGATTACATGTGTTCAGAGAAGTTTATAATTATTGTTAGATGGCCCAATACCATGAGAAAAAAGAAACCATGAGGAGGATTCATTTGAACATTTTCTTAAGCAATAGTTTGATAGAAGGATTTGATCTTGAAATTATTTTGTGTTGTGTTGTAAATGCTCAGGCTGAGGGCAAGACAGACCTGCTGACTGAAACTCTTCTGGAGGATCTTCAAGAGGACACAGCTCAAGCTCTGTGGGTCACGCAAAGGGAGCAGGTGGCTGAAACGGATGCCGAGAGGAAGCTGCAGGGCCCCACATTAGAGAGCATGCTGTTGAGGATGGAGGAGATGGAGGTCAGTGTGTGAGAGCTAAAGGCGGAGATTATAGGATTTGTGAGTTTGGAATGATCCTGCACTTTTTGTCATGTAGTAGACCTGATAGAGCAATAGGAGGGCAAACTTGGTCCTGGCGGGCCGGTGTCCTGCAGACTTTAGCTCCAACACTAATCAAACACACCTGAACATACTTATCAGTGTCTTATAATAATAATAATATAACAATGTATTAAAAGTGGCATTATTATAACAAGTTATTATTATTATTATTATTATGATTCAAACGCCAAATCATTTAAAATGTTTTTTAAAGCATTTAGTGAATCCAACTCTTTAAACTGCAACTTTGTTTGGAGGTTATTCCATGCAAAAGGTGCTGCATAATTAAAAGCTTTTTTTCCTATTTCAGTGCGCACTACTGATGCAGACAGTAATTAAAATTTTTTATAAATGTTGTAAATATTTGTTATAAATAACAAGTATAATATTAATGTTGTTATTATTATTGTTATTATTTTGTTTATAAACATCAAATAATAATTATAATAATATATCAAATGATAGTATTATTATATATTATTGAATAATATTTCAAATTATCTAAAAGGTAAAATTATCACTTCATTTTATTATATATCTGAATATTATATATATATATATAATTCTATCAAATTTTATTGAAATAAGTGTAAAAATAAATGTTATTATAGCAGGTATAATGTAATATAATATATTTGATTACATTTTATTATGTTGTAAAAAACATTTTAATTTTTTTCTATAAAAAATACAATAATTTACAAATATTATTATAATAAGTACTGTAATGGTATTATTACGATTTTTTTGTATAATATTGTTTAAAAAGAAATGATCAAAATGTAATTAAAAGTAAATATAATATTACTATTGTAATAATTGAAATAATTGTCTATTATTATTAAAATGTTGTCTTAAATCATTAAGATTTGTGAACATAAAAATGATGTTTTTATAAATTTTTTATTAATTTAATAAATTGTAAAGTTCTACAAAAGATAATAACGATAATTAAAAGGTAAAGATTACATTATAACAAATGGATTGTAAAGTAGTAATAACGATAGTAGATTAAAAACATTACTTAATTTTTTTAATATTTGAAAAAATCATATGATGCAGAACTTTATATGGTTGCAATTATTTATTATATTATTATATTATATAATAATTATATTATTATTTTATATTAATATTAAACTTAAACAAACAAACAAACAAACCTGACTCGCAAAGCTCTATTCTATTTACCCAGAGAGACCAAGATGAAGTGCGTCGGCGCCTTGCCATGATCTCATACTCGGACCCTCTCATCTGGGAAAGAGGCACAGGTGAGTCACAGGACACAAAATAATAGCCATTCACGTTCATGCCCATTTCAGAGTAGACAGAAATACTGACAAAAGCAGTTATCAGGTGTCCTTTCGGGACCATCAGAAGGTCAGTCTTAGCGTCTCTCCACTTTGTCCCTGAAGAGTCAGACAAGTATGTGCTCTGCATTTTATTTGCCTGAAGTGACAGCAATGCCCACCAGATGGCAGCAGTGTAACTGCTCTAGTTTTTTGTCGTAGATGCAACAAGGAATAATTCCAGCTCCAGGCCAATCTCGCCCCAACCAATCCGACTGACCAAACCAGCCCTGAATGCACCCCCTACAGCCGACATCCTCCTGCAAAAGCCAGTGGAGATTGGGTGAGTGACTGCAGACTGAAAAAATAGGGATAAATTGATAACAAGCTGTTGAATTGTTAATACATAATGTACAACCAAGGTAGTGAAGCAAGTGATGAAATCAAAATGGTTGTGATAAATATTATAATAATTCAGCATTCTGGAGGTAAGATTCTGGAGTTAATTAGTCTGCTTATACTATGGTACTTGTTAGGTGTGCAACAATACAGACTAACTGTTTTTGGTTTTAGGGGTCACGATTTTGGTACGTTTCAGTATATTTATCTTATATATATATCTATATCTATCTATATCTATCTATATATATATATATATATATATATATATTTAGTGATTGTAAGAATGTATGTAGTGCTGCACAATATATCGTTTCGGCATCGATATTGCAATGTGCGAATACGCAATTAATCGCAGAGTTTGCAGTTTTGACTTATAATTATAATTAATTGGTCAGACAAATAAATGACTTTCTAGACATGTGAATATGTAAGATTTCAAGCTACTTTAAACCGTTTAGGCACAAGTAACCTTCAAATTTGTAGCTTTAGCAAAGATTAATTGTATTTTTAATTACAACTTAATTACAACTTTTTGTATTTTTAACTATACAGTGTTATTTTTTTATTTGATTACATTGCTATTTTACATTTTACCTCAAAACTGTTAGAATATCTAGAAAACCACAAAGATTTCATTTGTTTCTTTGTTTCATTTGTATTCATTTATGCTTGTAATTTGGTTATTACACTTTAAAACAAACACACTCTCCATGCACTCCCTAATAAATCATCACTATGTAAAGTAATGAACTATTTTCTAATAGTTATTTAAATTGAGTCATGAAATTACCTTAATATCGCTCAATATATTGCACAATATATTGCTTCAGCATCGATATCGTGATGTGTGTATCTGCAATAGTCACATTGCAGGATATGTATTGTTTGGAATAAAGTTGACCAAGAACCACAGTTTAGAACACACAAGATTTATGAAGTCACTGTACGTGTTCAACTATAATGGAGTGAAAGTGTGTTTTTAAGGCCTGTGAATGAGTTAACATTCAGGCACAAGAAATTGTACCTTTTGTAACTTTAATAACAATATATTGTATTGGATTAGTTATGCAAAGAAATCTATAGTATTATTTTACATTTCATTTTTCAATTTCTGTACTAGCATGCTGTTAGATTCCCCAGAAAACCATGAAACGCTGTATATTTCTCATCTATTTCTTTTCTATAGTATTTATCTGATTTTTTAAAATGTATTATATTGTATGCAAGTCTCAACAATAAGGACTGCCCAATGGCCCGGGGCCAGTGTGAGAGACGCTTGGGACAGTTGATGGGATCATTACTGGCTTGATTGGGGCCACCTTTTGTTAAATAATTTTGAACTGCAATAAAATACCTTCACATTTTCCATACTGCTCTTTTTGTTTTGCTAACACAGGATTTTGCATAATTATTAATTAATTTTAATATGAATTAATTAAATCTTTTTTAAATACATTATTTGAATAATTATTAACATTTCAATAATTATATACATTATTTTTGGCACAGTATTTAAAATATGTGGCTTAAACATAGCTCTTAAATAACATTTTTTCTTTGGTGAGGCCAGTGAAAATTTTGTCAGGGCAAGTAAAAATCTAATCCATTGGCCCAATCGGACCAGTAGAAAAAATCCTTAGCGTTGAACCCTGGTAGGCATGATTCACTCTTATACAGACAGAGTAATCCCAAATCAGTCTAAATGAATGAACACTTTTCAAATAGAGCTGTTCAAGCTCTCTGGTGAAATGTTATTCATATTGCAGAAATGCAAAATATCAAATTGTTATATTTTTCCAATGTCGTGCATTCCTAGTATGTGTGGGGTATGGAGATTAGTGGGCGTTGATTTATAAATCGGGCTTTAGTGTGAGTGAAATGCTGCTGAATAGTGCTAGGTTGACTTTTATTATGGATCTTTAATGTTATAAGTAGGGCCAGACAGAATCTGTGAAAATGTTTTACTATTTCTGCACAAAATTTTCCTAAAAATAAAAAGTGGATTTATGCAGAATGATTTCAGGAGTATCGTAGCTAAAAACCCAATATATAAAATAAAAAAATTATAAATTTTAAACATTTATTTAATGTTTACAATGCAAATCCAATTAGATCAGTTTGTTAAACAAAGCAAGTCTCATATACTGTATATCTATTAAAAGACAGAAAATATTATGAAAATTATTATAAATATTTTGCATCCTGATTCTCTGTCCCATCCATGTCGCAGGAGCAAACCGCTCATGAATAATACACACTAAGGGCCCTTTTACACTAATACGTCTTAGTTTTAAAATGGCATTTAGAGTGAAAACGATCCTCGTTCACAATGTCGTTTCATCTAGCATTTCTGAAAAGCCCTCCTTCCACACTATACTTCTGAAAATGCACATCACATGACCACATACACACACTCAATGTTGCTCACTTCTGAGCTCCAGGCAGTCAAAGCAGGTGCTTTGAGCACAAAACCCCAGATAGCAGTGCAGGTCAGACAGTTTATCAAGGATGTACCGCTGGATAGCATCTTACTATAGTTGTTAAACGTGATATTTAATTAATCTTGTCTCTATCTAGCGTCTCTTCTGTCTTTTGAATCAATCAGGTAACATGTCACAGCGCCAGTACACTACTTTAATCTTTCGCTTTTATGCTTTTACTTAGTCATTTTAGTAGAAAACTCAGAAACTGTATGTTGGTTCCTGTTGGTTGTGCACCTTTTTTAGTCAATTATATTACTGAAATTAATAAAAAAAATGAATAAATATACATTTACACAAGTTTATAAATAGACTCAATGATCGGCTAAAAATCTGCAGTAATCTGTGGATTTCTGCGTGTGAAGATTTTCTGTGGGCCTATAGATTAGAAACTAATAAAATTAGGGTAACTATTAACCTTAACTTTTCTGAATTGTACTTTAATGCAATAATGTGCACCTTTTGTAAAGCTGCTTTGAAACAATAATTATTGCTATATAGATAAACTGGAATTGAGTTGAATAATGGACACAGATAAAGTATATTCTGTTCTCAATCTTGAATTTACCTAATGGCTATAGAAATAGGGGGCACAAATCCTGTACGCCAGTAACACTGGGATCAGTCCCAATTTCAATTGAAGTGCAAAGGAACAGTACACTGACCAGACTGTTTCGCACTTTAATATCTGTCTGTTTAGGGAATATTCAATAACAGCCACAAGGAAATCGAATTTTAAATATCTGCTAGTACAAACCAGTCTCTCTCTCTCTCTTTCTCTCCACCTCCTCCTTCTGTAGTTCTGCCAAGAGAGAGCGGGAACCGTGCTCCTTTCTGCTCAAAGCTTTGGCAGCAGCTGCAGCTCAGTAAATTAATGAGGAAAATAAAAGAATAATAAAAAAGAGACAGTCTTGAGGGCATGAGAGCTGTTTAAAGCCAGAGGGGCATGATGGGAAATTTAGTGGAACAGGTTCAATAGATACATTAGAAGATTAAAATGCGTTCTCCTGTTGGGCTTCAGCTCGCAGCGAGGCCCTTTGGCTCTGAGAATGCAGTGTAAACATTCAACCTCTACTTTTTTTAGTCTCGATGTAGTGTCTACACAGACTTCAAAGCATCATCTTGTGTCTAATCTCAGGGAATTACTGCAGTGTCTACAAGCCTTTCAATTGTTTATTCTGTCTGCTACATACTAACGATCAGCACACCTATCAATAATTTACATTTGCGTGTATTTATGTGGTAAATACTTTTATAAAGGCGACAACAGAGCTGAAGGAGTTTGAGCACTGCAGTTCAGAGAATAAACTAGTGTGGAGATGTGAGTGTGAGAATAAAGTGTAGTGTTGAATGTGGAATGCTTTTGCATAATAACAGGGACTGTTTTATATTTAGCTTATTTTTTCTACTTCCACATTGTCTAATTGTTTAGAATGCCCCAAATCTTAAGTTGCAACTGTCTTGAGTTGCTGGGTTAAATCCGTGTGAAATATATCTCTCATTTAAATATTTATTGCTATGTATGCAGTATTTATATATGAAGTTTGGTAGAGTTAGTATACAGTAAGGTTGAGTCGATAAACTATGCCATCATCCTTTGCCGATGGGCGACAGACATCACAATGATGAGCTGGCATTGCGGTTTTCTGCCCCGTCGCAGGAGCAAACCGCTCGTGAAAAATACATACTCGGGCTCGTTTACACTAAAACGTCTTAGTTTTAAAAGGCCGTTTTAGAACAAAAACTATCCTCGTCCACACCAACGTTTCATCTAGCATTTCTGAAAAGCCCTCCTTCCACACTATACTGCTGAAAACATGCGCACATGCAAACACTCAAAGATCTTCCACTTTTACTCTTGCTCTTAGTCATTTTAGTGAAAACCTCAGCTACTGTTGGTTGGTTCCTGTTGGTTGTGCACCTTTTTTACCAACCAAGTTTGTCGGTGCCATTATAGTGACACAGATCACTCTGCCTATTTATTGCCAGAGAAAAAGTGATTGACAGGTGGTATTTTGTGTGCAACTTATCTTTATTTATTTATAATTTGGTTAAACAAATACCATGCGGGTCACAAATAATTAATTAATTATGAATTAATGAACTATTAATAAATAATTAATTTACCACAGACAACGATGCCATCGTCCATCGTGGTGTTTCACATTAGACATTGTACGCTGCCAAATTTGTCGGCATCGCCCAACCCTAATATACAGCATGCTAATTTCAGACAAAAAGCACTTTAATCTGAGTTTATGTTTTTTTCTCTTGAAAATAAGCGCTTTTACATGTAGAAAATGCTTTATTTTGGAAAAAAATGAGAAATTCTAGAATTTTATCATTTGCAATTTTAATGTGCAGTATTAATTATTACATTTATTGTACATTTTATTGCACATTTATATATACACAGACACATGAAAATGTTATACTTATGTATATTTATTTTTTTATTCCT